CTGAATATGTTGTAATGGCTGGCGTGGGAGGCGTACGAGAGGGGACCGCTGAGGACGTTGATTGAAAGAAGAGATGGGCAGTGTAATACTTTGCTCTGTTCCCTTCGGAATGCACGTATCCAGCCTTACTTAATGCCTTCTTTCACCCTATGGAAGTCTTAGGACACTACACTGTCTGATTTGTTTACCAAATGGTATTGGCTTCGCCAGTTTCTATGTTGTTCTTCACAATGCTTGCTTTCCTTTTTTTCAAGCCTCTCTGTGAGACAGTATTTGAGTAATCTATTTGTCGCTTCCGAAGTCCTCTCCTATCATTGTTGATGATTTCAGTGGAACTTATAAAATTTATCGATAGAGTGCTTTATCGGGGTGGAGTTGGCGCCTTCTGCAAAATCTATTACGATTTCCGTGTTTCATAAAAGACTGTTGCTAATGCTAGTGTTCACATTAATTTCACATCAACGATAAATTTTCCTGATTAGATCTCCCCAATGTTTTGATTTATGGTAGCAAGTGTTTTCCTCATTTTCAAATTATGTGTTTTGCCTAATGCAATCTACTATAAGAGGAGTAGTGCAAGCGTCGGAATTGCCCGATGACATTGTCTAGATCTGTAGCTAAATTATCAGGGCGCTAGATAATTTGAGATTCCTAGAACTTCATTACTGCAGGCTGTAGCGTCTCAAGACTTCCTATTAAGTGGCAGAACACTTAGTACTTGGCTTATCTCATGAGGCTAGACAGAAGGGGAGGAGGTAAGAAGTTGGCACAGCCTAAGGTGCAGGGCACTGCACGAAAGATGGTCACACTAGGGACCGTCATTTTTACAGGCAGATAATGCAAAGGGAGACTTCTATATCATGCTGTAAAATCTATTGAGGACAATCCATATGTGAAACTGAGGTGCAAAAATGAGTGACTTAACACATTCTGGATAAGGCTAGGTATCAATAACGGAAGAGTTATCCTGCTAATGAGGTCATTTCAAAACCTCATCCATCCTCTTCTGTCTATGTGCAAGCCGTAGCGTCCCGAAGCTTCCCGTAGGGTGAAAGAAGGCAGTGGTGCGGCTGGATACATGTATTCCGAAGAGGACAGAGCAAATGGACCTGAGCATGGCCCGAACGCCAGCCCATGAGTTCAAGGGCCGGATCAATCCTCAAGTGACCGCTGAACGTCGGGTATTTACATAAACAAATTTTATTCCGTCTTTTACCTAATATGAAATGTGGGGTCTCTGCACTGATAGCAGCAGTAAGTGAACACAACATCATAACAACGGCAATTCCATTTTCTACGATTGTGAAAATGAACGCATGTACCTCAGAGAGTGGCGGGAGGAATCTCAAACTCCTTTGCAAAAGAATAGCTAGGACTGAAGTCTGCGTTTGGCAGCCCCTTTATATCTGTATTCCACTGACAGACTATTGACAGCAGAAGCGGCACTTGATGTACGCCATTAGAAGACTTTCGCTTCGACTTTTTCTTAGCCATACCTGGTCATAGATGTCAGCAATGACATTAAGCTAATTTTCATCTGCTCGGGATTGTAAAATCCAGCAATTTTTCTTCAGCTTAGTGTACTGACGTTTTGCTATGGACACAAAAGGTGAGTCTGCATAGGGAAAAGCATCGTGGAAGGTGTACCGAATGGAGCGTCGAGGAGGTTATCGGATAACAAATGGTCAAATAGATATAAAGAAGATTGTGTCTGCTGAAGTTTTGCCAGTTTGTGTGTGCAGTACAGTTGATAAATTTGTTTGCAGCAATACGAAACCGTTTTGTTGCATTCAAAATTGGCTTAGAAACGATGGGAATATATAACTTTTGTTACTGATAAGCAGCTTTATGTGGTATTTTCATAAACTCACTTTAAGCTCCAGAGCGTCAATATGAATTTGCCTGCTTCTGGCGCGTTATTTCATTACGCATGTAGGTTTGCAGTGCGTTGAGTTTTGTTTGCGGCCCGCTCTTAGGTTCCTTTAAAACCCTGACTGTACCGCCTAAGGCGGCATTGAGATTCTTTTTCGAATCCACTATTTTCTCAGTAATGCAGCTATTAATCAAAAGCTAACATCATCAGTGCTTCCTGGCCATTCCGTTCGTTCGATTTTCGTCACTTGTTTTGCCTTCTAGAAATGTTTATTTGTGGGTGAAAACGTTCTCTTATATGCTTACATTGGTACTTCTCGTGATTCAACACCGTCTTCATTTTATAAGCTGTGATTAAATCACTTACTGCTCCACAAACGTTTCTCCCTTGCAGGTAGTCTGCTTTTCTCAAACGCATAGATGCTTCATCTAAACAACTTGAGGTACCGAGGTGAAGGAAATAACAATATAGTCTTAGCGGATGGTAACGTATGCGCCTTACTGCTTCACCTTCAATTTTCTAGGGCATGGTCTACCGGGTTCGAAAGGTCTCTCCACCGGCTCTAGTATGACGTGGCCTATGTGTATTCCATTTTACTCAATTTTAGCTTCCGACTAAGAATACTCGGGCTTTGAAGAAGAACAGGCAGCCGACAGTTCTCTTTGGCCAACATCGAATGGCGCAGTATTTTGGACCGGATTTTGTTCAGCCTTTTGTGAGATTTTATTATTTAATGATGAGTGTGCTTTTCGCCGTTGCTGCTGCCTTACAAGGGCATTATATGCTCTTTAGCAACTTATTGATGTAGATCCTTCAATTTTACAAGCAATCAACGACCGATTTCAGTCCAGCAGACCAGGTAATTGTGTGTGTTTTGCGTAGTTCATTACGCTGATGCGAAATACCATTTGATATCGGGTGTGAAACAATTCCTATATCTCTATTTATATTGCAGGACAAGGCTGTAATTACTTGTTTCGGGTTGTATGACAACACGCACATTCTTTGTGGCAAAGCGCCTAAAAATTGACATGGGTCATCTTTATTGCTACTTTTTTTGCTTTTCTTTCCTTTTTTGATTCTTTACTTCTTTGAACACACTTTTAGCTGTGCTCACCATTGTTATTACTATTATTACTATTTTACTAACAATCACGAAGGCTTCTTCCGTTTGAGGTAGTATTGTTAGAATTCGCATGGCGTTTCTTTATGCGCGTAATCGTCGCTTCTGAGATCAGAATTCTGTTGCTATCTTTTTTGCCGGATGTATGCACGATACTAAGTTAGTCGAGTTTGACGGATGAGCGAGCGAGGCTTTTTACCAGTGCAGTCAGACTCGTCTTGTACTGCAAACACGGCTCCTGATGGCAACTTGAATTGTCTTATTTCCCCTTGCGTCTAAGTTTTTCGTTTGAATCGGGGTATCGACTTGCAAACCACTCGGGTCCTCGCCGCTCCAGACGCTACCTGCATTCCGGCCGAACTTGTTCCTTATGGGGAGGGATCGGTACTCTGTGTTGAAATTAAGGTAGGTCCCGCTGTACTTTATTCACTGAATTTTCTTGACCTTATTGGTCATGCATTTGAGTGCGTTGACTTCTACACGCTCACTCGGGGGTTTTTAATCCAAACATTTAGATTAAGATGGTTTCGTCAATACGCATGGGGACTGTATTTTGTTCCCTTTATCAGGTTTCATTGCCGACAATTGGAGCCAATTTTCCTATGGAAATTTCGGTTGTGCCAATTTTACCTCATAGTTTATTGAAGTTGAACTAATCGCATGAGTGGGTCATTTCTTACACATCTTACATGCCGACACTATAGTTTAGCTTGCCACATGTTCCTCCCATTTTATACCTCCTCAAATCACTATATAATGTCTGCTAGAGCCTTAATGTCAACTGTCTCCCTACTCTCTTAAAGCCACTTGTGGCTATTACCTTAACCAGATAAAGGTGGGTGTGATTGTATTTCTCCCTGTCAATGTGCGATGCCCTCTTGACTCGGCAATTTCGTTCTGTATTAAAGGAAAAGGGTGCTAAACAGAGTGATAGCTTTAGACAAATTATTGTAGACCAACTTATATAAAATCTTTTGAAGAATAAATGACTCCATTGCATGTTTACTTGATGAGAAAGCAAAGGTACTTTATGGATAATTTTTTCATCATCTAGCTGAAATCATTTTTAAGATTAGACCAGGTCAAATCCCATTTGTACGAAAAGCTTCTGCTTATGCTTACTTTAGCCAAAGTTTGGAGCCATTCCTCTTGGACCTGAACGTGATTCCTTTGAGGCGACGGTTAGGCGGAATGCAATGTTTTGCATCATGCAATATGATGAGGTGAGATATTATAGCTAACACTGACAGTTGCACTATTACATGAACGGGTTGTGTCTATTTGGTCTGTGTGGCAGTATTAACTCACTCTTGGCACATTACGAAAATTGGCAGTTATAAGTAATCGATTTAAAAACCCGATGAGCAAAGAGAACGCATGGAACCCTTGAAATACTTGCAGTCCTTTTCCCAAACATCGTAAATTACTTTTCCAATGTAATTGTTCGGTGAAATTTGTTTGTCTGGTCTGCCAAAGCTGCATTGATCGAAACATTGATCGGCGACCGAGGTTATCCACGTGGAAGAAAGTTCATAGTCCTGAGTGGCCTCTCACTGAATGATACGTGGAGGTCGGCATGATAAAGCAATGAACTAACGCATGCCGGTATTAAAGTTTTATCCTGATATAACCTACTGGCACTTGTTTGCAAGAAGGACACATCGATTGAGATTGCAACATCAACTCATTGTCTTACTTTTTTTTCTTGTTCAATTCCAGAAAAAAAGGCGCATGTGGGGTCAACCATCATCCTACTGCCCTTGTGACCTCTTTTCTGGGTATAACTGTCTTTTATTTTCTCAAACTACTTCATATCGCTTGTAATTTATTAAAAGAAGGCTTGGGATTTTGAATAGGAGGCGAACGGCGTTGCATGGGAGTCTAGTGGTTCAACACCTATGGGAGTAATAATCATTACCATAGTGAAACCAGCTTTGGTGGTCCAATCCCAAGGAGTAGCAGCAGGTGGGACACTGGGACACCAAAGCCTTTTCGTATGTTCAACATCGATAGTATCCAGAAAACACTGGTCAATTTAAAACTTTTGCTGTTATTTTTACCCTATTTTGGGGATTTAACTGTAAAATTCGGAGCCATTACACATTGCGGCCTCTTAGCAGAATAGTCCCTATTGAGACTCATCCGTGGTGTCGTTCAACTCACCCTAAGCTTATTATTATTCGTTTAGAAACCAAGATAGGATGCTACGAGCTCTCCTTGCAATGTTTGAAGTCCGTCAAAACAATCTTCGAGTGTTTCGCGTAAGCGGCTGTGCAACTTTGTGTTCTTATACTATTGCCCCGTTTTTAGGTTCGATGATATGGATGACAATTGAAAGGAAGCATTTAAACAGTGTTAAGATGCTTAATTGAAAGTATACCTTTTCGAATGTGTTTTATTAAGACGAGATTTATAGGATAACCACGTGACTTGGTGCCACTTATTATGAGCATCAAATAGTTGTCAAAAGCTTAAAATATTTTAATTGCTGATGCCCATTATCGACAACGAATCTGATCACTTCTTCCTTCATTTCAATTTTACCCTAGAACTACCTATATCGGTTGTGATAGATTAGTCCCGAATGTCATAAAAGCAATTTTCTCTGCACGACTGGATTGAATTGTATTGAGCAGATAAGTCTCAAGTCTGATTGTTTGACTCTTGGGAAATGTGGTCGATCCTGCAGTCTACCAAACACAGCAGGCTGTCTTTTGGAGTTAAAACGATCTATGGACCACAATCTCATTCGCTTAAAGAATGTCGTTTGGAAATTTGAATATCTTACAACAATTCAACTGCAACCAGCTTCGATTGACACGTTTCCACAAATTGGAAGATCTGACAAAAGTGATCGCCTACTAGGCTCTTCTCCGTTAATGCACGGCATTTCGGGCTGTTTTGCCTATACGTGTCTAGGTGATTTGTTTCATCGCAACTCTTAGATGCTAGGCATAAGATGTTCAGAATGATTTCTGTAATCTGTTGACCAAGTTAAAATTTGTTTCATGCTAGACACGCTTGAATCATTTCCGCTAAGGTCAACCTGTATCTACTGTTATAAAATTATCGGAAAATTGTTTACTGTCTCGCGACCATTCCAGCTATTGATACCTTCACGAAGCCTATTTGTTTGTTCTTTTTCTTACAGAATAGTTGTTGTGTGCTGAATAACACCATTGACTTACTGGATAATGCTTTGATGGATTTCTTTTATCCTTCTCTGAGTGGCTGTGAAGGTAGAGGGGAGAATTACAACAGCTCTGGCAATTCTTCTGAAGTAATCCCTTCGCACGCCCCGTGGGTACTCTTAAAGATTTGTTTGCACTTATCCCTTTTATACTTATGCAGGCAGGAGAATGTTCATGGGTCTAAATTTCTTTTGTTTGATGTGTTGCAGGAATCATTTCTTCTATATCAATAAAAGCGCAAATGCAAGCCTTCAAGATCAAGCTAAATTAAAATGATATTCATGTTATAGTGAAGAATTTTCAAGTGATGGCGACTGTGATAGCGAGACCACCTACCATTTACGAGGATGCCAACTCCATCCTGCGGGTGAAGGATCATTGCGCCACCGTTTCGTACAGGGTCTGCTCCTTCCTGCCCTCCTTACTGAAACCCCTTCGTCCTCTGTGCCTCGCAGTATCAGGAGATCATCAAAGTTTCGCTATGATTGCGATCTTCATCCCTACACTCCTTCGACATCCTCAAACGGTGTGGATGCTTTGGCCACAACGTTAATCCCTTCTATTCGCAGACATTAATAGGTATTAGAGTAGATGCTATTTTATTGTAGAAGACATATCTTCCTCTGTTGTATCAATTTTAACGTCGAGTATTCGTGATCTTCCGCAAAACTCGCCCCTTGGTCGAATATTGCAAGCGCAATTACAGAGTTCTCTCAGTCACCAAGATCTCATCAAGCACTACAAATCCGTAGCAGCGTATTTTGAGGAACAAGATATTTCTTGGTAGGTACAATTAAACAAACTGCTGGTCTCGTTAAAGGTTTTAGAATTTACTTAGAGTGATTCTGCTGATTTCTGCAGATGAATTTTTTACTTAATGAATATTGCTCGATGAATACCCTTGATCGCCTTTTTGGTCTCATGTTTGTTTTGCTGCCTTTTGGCCTAATGTCTAGGATTTCTCGCCTTGGTGCACAAGTAAGCAATTGGTATGAAATGTTGGATACACTCCTTTATGCAGACGCAGATTGTCTCATTGTTTTATTTGTTTTACTTGCTGAACCCATCCAGCATCAGTATGGTACAGCAGATGAATCTTGTCAAGGAGCATTGCTGGAGATTGCACTTTATGGTTGTTTTAAGTAAAGATTCGATCAGCGATTGACTTCTCGCCATCGAAAAGAACTTTCCGGAACAGTGTACCTTACCATTTTTACACAGATTCGATGGAAAAGTATAAGTTGTCTGGCCTTTACTTTGTAGGGATTCCTATATTGCCGGCAAAATTGTCGTTAATACTGCTGAGGTGCCGCCCTGCCTTATCGAAAGCCTTAACCTCGTAAGTCAGTGTCTCTTCGACATCATTTGAGCAGGATTCGGCCAATCCTTTCAGCTCATGTTTTTAGGAATGCCTGTAGTGGTGCTTCTCAACATGCTCGAACGGTCATTTGTTATCATTATCTACGAGGTCTGTATCAGTAAAGGTGTCCGTTTTGTATTCCGTCTTAAATGACCACCCATCTAATGCATTTTAAAGTAGCCAAATTTACGGAATCAGTTTAGCGAGACTGCTGCTGTATCCATGTTCAACGAGGATGGATCGTGATTACACAATTTCGAAATTTCATACTTTCGCGAACCGCCGAAGTTCGAAGCCTTCTTTTTAGGTTGAGAAGCACCTGGTGGCTATGGTAGCTCGCGACTGTTCCATTATGCTTACCTTCCAACGTGCAAAAGATAAGTACGTCTATGCTAAAATAAGTATTTCGAACCAACACTGCCTTCTCAGCTCACCCCTTCTAATATGTGTTAAAATGCTCCACATGTTCTGTCAAGTTCCTTTTTTAACTTTTAGCTGTTTGACGAACCTTTTAGCGGTCGGTGGCGCGTGTCCTTGTGTTCCTAGGAGCATTGTTAACATCAGTATTGTAGATTTGGATCCAAAGGAGCTGAATAATCTTCAAGAGCGTGTGGAAGCTGAACGCCGCGTGGTGGAACAATTTCTGATTAGGCGCGAGGGTTAACACCACGTGCTCATACAGAATCATGATTTGTGTCTCTTTCACTCTGAGAACTATTTTGCTAATGCTTTTCACTTAGAATCAATATTTGATCGTCACGCTCATTCTTTTGCAAGACCATTCATTATTATACTGGAGGTCGTTATCTTACTTCATGGAGAGCGCGGGAACTCAATCTCGGCGTGACGCCTACTTACGACGTTTTCTTGAATTGGTGATGCTCGCTCGCAAAGTGACATTCTCAGTGATATGTCAAACTTGCGGTCACTGCCCGAGATTTTCTTAGTTTTCGATGGTGCGCGCGCCTACGACATAGTGGTTATACACAGATCAAATGTATACGCAGTGTTCTTGCCTTTTGTCCGAATTTCAACCATTCACGAAAGAAGTGTATGCTGTGGGTGAGAGAACTGTTGAAGTCTTTCTCCCCAACGAATGTGCACTGCAGAGCCAAGCTGCTCTTAGGGGAAATGAAGGGTTAGGCAAACACAGAAGTGTCTTGTTTGAGTGTTGGTAACGATTGGGGACAATTAAATAGTTGTGTCGACAGCCGAGTGGGCTGGTCTCCAAGACTGTAAAGTGGTACCTCCCTCGCTAAACATGTTTACCCTTCTCAGGTTTTGTGTTCTATTGTCCGGAAGAATAATTTGGGTGGGATAAGTTTATGGCAGTGAAAAGAATCGGGTATAAGAATTACTTTTATATTTGTCCTCATTATCCTAGGGAAACACTAGTGATGCCACTAAATTTGTCCGACACCAGTCTCATACCCATGTTCCACCGTCAGGCATTGTGGGCCACTTAAGGATGTTGCGTTTCGGAATTTTTTCCTTACTACACTTGCGATGTGAAATGTTCGAAATCTCGTCCTCACAGGATGGTATTAACTGCAATGCTTTGTTTATGTGACTACCTGACGTTTGGCGATCACTTTACAATTTGTCTGTCCCCTGTACATGTGGGCTGACCTTCGGGCCACGCTCAGCCCCAATTTGCTCTGTCGTCTTCGGAATACATGAATTCAACTTCACTTATGCCTTCTTCCACCCTATGGAAAGCCTCGGGACACCACACTGGTGGCAGCGGAAAGCGAACCCGACACTTTTTAACGACTTCTAGGTATAAAGTGCTTCTGAAGACCTTCTGCTCCAGCCGAGGTGGGGTCTCTTTATGCGGCTTGTTCTTCGTTGGCCGTTTGTTAAAAGCGACATAGTGTGCGGGGACAATCCGTTG